ATTGGTTGGTCTTTAGTCATTCACTTTTCACTGGTGAGAGAAGTGAATTGAATGCTTTCTGGGTTGTCTTGCAGCAGTGACCTTCCACAGGAAACAACCAGGTGTGAGGGCTAACAACATGGAGTCTGGAGTCAGATGACCTCCACTCCAATATCAGCTATACGATGGGGAAATTACTTAGGTCTCTATGCCTTGAGTTCCTCATCCATGTATTGTGATGGCAACAATAGTACACACCTCACAGCATTGTTGTAAGGATTAAATGAGGTAATATATGCTACACTTTTGAATAGGGCCTGGCTCATGGAAGTGCTACGTGAGTGAGTTCAGTTTTGCACATTTTCATGAGCTGCTCAGAGACACACTGATATTTTTCAAATCCTTCTCAGAAACTAGTCCCACCCATACTGTACTGCTCTACGCTGTCTGCTGAAAAAGAGTTTTGTGAATGGACACATTTTTGTGAATGAATAAGTTTTTGTTCTCTGGGAGACCAGGCCTGGGACTCTGAGGGCTGGTGCCTCCCTTGTCTGTACTGAATATACAAACTGCTTTTTCCACAGATTTTTTTTTTCAGGTTTTTGGGGGAGAAAAATCTATTTCAAACAATTTCCTCTCACAGCTACTTTCTTTTGAAGTAGTAGGGTAATAGCCCAAAGCTATAAAAGTAGGAGCAGCATTTATCAATTGATTGATTAACCAGTCAGTCAACAAGTATTTATGTGGTGTTTCCTATGTGTTTAGCACTTTGTTAACTGCTCCCTGGAGAAATAGAAAATATATAAGACAAGGTTTCGGACCTCAAGTTAGGGTCCTGAAATGGCTCACTGGAAAATGATTACAAAACAGCTACAAAATTTAGATGGCAGAGAGCAAAGTCTTTCAAGCAGAATTTCTGTAGCTGCAAATGATGTTTCCTTGCCTCAGGAAATGAATGTGGTGGTCTGGTCCAGGCTCCATATTTCACTACTTTCTAATGTGGGAGGCAATAAGAAATTACCAACATCTCACAGAAGTCCCTTTCCTTGGGAAGAAAATATTGAGAATTGTCTGGCACTGTGTAAAGGGGTAATGGTATCAGGGAAACCAGCTAACCACTGCCAAATCTAAGCTTACCTATATGAAGAATATAGGAATAGGATACACAGCCAAGAAAATGAAGTCTGAAGGGTAAGTTCAATACAGTAATAGTAAACATCAAGACAGCAACAGATATTCTAGAGTATGAGGCATCAGTAAGCTCAGGGTTCTGACCATTTGAATATAGGAATAAAAGGAATAGGAAGAGTCAAAGATGATGCCAAGGTTTTCACTAATAAATAAAATCTCTCTATATACATTCTACAAATACAGTGAAGTATAGTAGACAGAAACACCAGCTTTGTGGTCAGACCAACTTGGGATCGAGTTTAGTGAGTTGGTAAGTTTTGAAAGTTTGAAGTAAGTTTTGAAGTTCTGTGAGCTTCAGTTTCCTCATTTATAAGATGAGGCCAATAGTCCCTGCCTTATAGCATGAGAGTGAAGCTTTTGTGTGGTAACACATGCAAAGGGATTGACACTTTGCCTTTGTACATGACAAGTGCTAGCCTCTATTTGCTGCTATTAGCTCATATTAACAGAGCTCCTATATTCACTGTGATAGGTGTAAGGATTTAGAGAGGCAATAGTTATGGCCTCTGTCCTGATCATACCCACAGATGAATATCATCTCCTACGGGGAGATATTGTCCCAGCATCCCCTGTGAGGTTTCTCCAGGTTTACTTAAGACACTTCTTTCCACGTGGGCCAAGGAAGGGCTGTCGAGTCCTACAGTTAAGTTGTCACTCATGCTCTGTAAGTGCCTCATCATAAGGGTACTAAGTTACTATGAGGCATCCCAGGGACCCTCCCATGGTCTTGGCTAGGGTTCCATGGTCTTGGCTAGTGAAAGACCATCATCCCTGTTGACTCCCTTCAAAGATATTCCTTCTTTCCCTTTCTCTTCTCTCTTTCATGACTTAACCTTTATGACTTAAGCAATAACCCACAAAAATGTAGACATTTGTCTATCTCAAATGTTTTTTTTTTTGGAGAGATTTTCACTGTAGGGCGCGTGCGCTCGCCAGACAGACAGAAAGAGACATAGAGACAGAAAGCGAGAAAACACCCCCCAGGGGGAATGGTCACGCCGCAATCCCTTCTCCTCCATTCTCCTCTCGGGATCTTGGGCACGCACGCACACGCGCCCGGCGTGAGTTTTAAGCCACCGGGTCCGGGACACGAACCACGGTCGACTATGTGGGAATCCAGCGACATAGCCATTACGCTAACTGCTGGTTCCCTCAAATGGGTTTTGAGTGTACCCCTAAAATAACTCTTTTCCTTTTTAATATGTGAATGTACTTTGTAAATGTACTTGAAATGTTTCTTTCTTACCTTTTTTTTTTTTTTTAAGAGAGAGATTTTTGCTATAGGGTGTGTGTACTTGCCAGAGAGACAGAGATTAAAAGTGAAAAATCACCTTTCAGAGGTGGCCATGCCACAATCCCTTCTCCTTCATTCTCCTTTCAGGACTTTTGGCATGCATACACATGTACCTGGAGTGAGTTTTAAGCTGCCGGGTCTGGGACTCAAACCGCAGTTGACTATGTGGGAGCTCAGCAATGTAGCCATTACGCCATCTGCTGGTCCCTTCTAGAACTCTTGACCAAGCCATCTTTCTTAGGAAATTAGAGTCAAACTTTTCTTCCCCATCTTCTAAGATAGTATGCTGCAAATGGAAACTTTCTGGATCATTAGAAAAAGTTTAAGGAGGTCAACTTCCTAGGTTTCATAAGGACTCAGAAGCGGACAAGGAGCAGGCCTCCTAAACTCTGCAATAGACTCATTGCAAATGCAATGAAGTTACAGAGGAAGAATTTTGCTGGTGAGAGAGAGTTTCAGGGTAAAGGAGGAAATGTCTGTGCAACTGGTTGGGATCCTTGATTTGAATGTGCAAAGAATTTTTGCAGCGCAAGACATTTTTGCAGGAGTATTTGTGTTGGATCTGATATCTAGAGTTTGTAGTCTCTTATTCCCTTCTCCTGATGTTGCTCAAATGAGATTAGGTCAATTCTGGGAACTGATACCTTCTCTCTGTCACATTCCTGTTAACTTGTTCCATTTCAACAGATGGCTTCTTTTGGACGGTACACAAACCCTTGACATCTGTGAGGATTGATGACGTCCAGAGACATTCATAAATCCCTAGTTCATGAGTGTGAAAACATTTGTACAAGCTTCTGGCTTGCTCCCAAACCACATGTTTTTTTGCACATTGCCTCATATCATAGGTTAACCACCTTTTCAACTTGAACTGAAGTTCAATCTATCACATTATGGTGGTTTTTTCTTTTCTCTACTCACAGACTAGTTTTGATTAAAACAACAACAACAACAAAATGCACTTTGTGAAAGTTCTTGTAAGGCCAGCAATGAATGAAGAGTCACAGTAGCTTAAGAAGCTGTATGGCCAGTGGGGCTTTCTGCCTAAGGGGAGTTCCATTCATATACCAGCTCCAAAAGACACAAGGTTCAAATTCAGATCTCTGTAAGTAACAGATGACTATGTGTTATAGGCTTTCATGGTTGCTCATGAATACTGTAGTCTAAATTGAGAATTTAGGTTTGGAAGTTCCAAAGGTGTCCTTCCTGTTCACACCTCATTCTTGGAACTCTCAGACCACAGTTTTGAAGTCACAGGCAAGAGAACCTTCTCCAGTGAATCTCTGGACAGAAGCAGGCACAGCAGGAGAATAGCTGATTTCAGGAGAGTTATTTGTTCCTGAAGATTTATATAATTTAGGCCCATCTCCTATATCCTCTAGGAAATAATAAAGGATATTTATAATTATGACCCTAGGTCTCCCAAAAAATCAAGGAAAGATGAACCTCATATATCCATTAACAGTTCCCTTCATCCTGCTTACCAATCAGACTTGAAGCAATGTTTAATGAAAGATGCATGTATAGTATGGCAATGAAAATAGGAATAGAAGATCAAAAAACCAGGTAAGAGGAAGAAAGAAAAGTATCAAAATACTACAGAGATATAATTAATGTGATAGAGTATTGTATTTAGTTCAGAGTTCCCTGGAAGGAAAAGTAAAAAGAAAATAACAGCAACAAATCATTCTTCAGGAGAGATATACCTTCTCTTTACGATAAATTCTGATGTAAATTCACAATATGGGATGTATGCAAAAGGAATTCAATGATAGTGAACCATGCCTCAGTAGTTTCCACTAAATAAAACCACTAATAAAAATTTCACATATAACCATTTACCATGTTGTGTTTTCATAGTATTTTAAATAGTCATTAAGAGACTTGGTTGCCAATTCTACCTTAGGAAAAAAAGTAAAATAATAATTATCAGTAAATTTGAAGGAAGGTATGGAGAGGGTAGAGATACAGGTAAAACAAACATGGCAGAATGCTGATAACTGTCAAATTGGGTTGAGGGTACATGGAGATCCGTTGCACTACTTTTTTTTCTTGCTTTGTCACAATTCTCCTATCTTAGCCTCCTGAGCACTTGGGACTATAATCATATACATCTGGCTTTTAGGGTGGGCTGGGAACCAAATCCAGGCCTCTTGGGTGACCTTAGCCTCATACTTTACCAGCACACCAATGCAGTATTTATTGCACTAGTTTATTTACTTTGTATACTTTTATAATTTCCATGATAAGCTATTAAATTAAAAAAAAAAAAAAAAACAGTTGAAAGCATTTGGCAGCCAGGAAAGTCAAGCTAATGTGTTATCTAACAAAGACTATATGTTGTTTGATGATGTTTTAAGTTAAGTAGATACAATTTTATATTGGATCTTTTGAAATAAGTTATGTGGGCTATGGAGCACTTGGTATTATAGACTTTTCTATATAATTATGAACATTCCCAGCTGAGCATAATTGCAGATTACTGATACACCTAAGACAACAGACAAGAGTAGAGGGGAAAGCCAGATTCAGATACCTTCACTGCAGTTCTTGAGGGCAAAGAAGTCCACTGCAGACAAGCTTCGGTTTCCACTTGAGATATACTCCAGGGCCACACGGAATGGGTTCTCTGGGCGCCCAATTCTTCCTTGCAGCACTGTCCAGCTGGTTGCATTGGGAAGCAGAGAATAAAAGCATAGAAAAATAGTGATGAGAAGCAACCTTAACCTGCAGAGAGAGATGCCCTTGCAGCAACTTCAGGGCTACACGGAACTTTTCATAAGCAGTAGGAGATGGAACCCTAAGTGTCACTGAGGACAGTGGCCCTGACAGCAACACACCAACATTTGTTTCCTTCTTGTCCAGCTAACATAGAGATCCGATTCTCAAGCCCAATCTGGTCCTTGGAATTTTTTCTGCCATATTCTTTAAAGACAATTGAAGATTTTTGGGCTATTTAAGTAACTAGTCTAAAAATGAAAAAAAGTACATAACTTTAGAAGCCTTGCAGCAGAGTCAAGAAAAAGTCTTCAAAATATTTATCAGTCTATTCACAATTATCTGGAAAAAAAAAATGGTTGTTTTTTGGAATTGTATCTGCTACCAAAGTCTTAGAACCTTCAGGTTTGCTATATAGTTATTTAAGGAATGCTCACAAGAGCTATTTATTTACTGTGGGAAAATTAAAGTGCATCGAAGCATGTATTTTGGGGGTAAAAGTTATCTAAGATTGACATGAACTTGGCAAAAAAAGGTCAAACAGAAGATGGAGGCAGGTCAAATGGTGAGCTCTGCAACTACCTACAATCAAGGACACTGACACTGTCGGAGAACACAGAATAAGCCAAATGAACATTTTCACACCTTCCTCATGCTAGCAACCTCTTGCAATAGCCTCTGTCACTGATTGGAACACTAAATTTACTTCCTAACATTGATTAACACACACACACACTCACACACACATATACACTTATTTATTTTGACAATTTTGTGTACAAAATAAAAATTATCTGGACTTTTCTTTCTTCTTCTTCTTTTTAAAAATTTATTCATTTACTTCTGTCTTGATTGAGACAGAGAGAGAGAGAGAGAGAGAGAGAGAGAGAGAGAGAGAGAGAGAGAAAGTGAGAAAGTAAGCTTCCAGGTACAGGACTTGAACTTCGGTTGGCCATGTGGGAATCCAAGACCCTTAACCACCACACCACCTGCTGGCCCTATCTGGACTATTTTATATTTTCTTTATTTAAAAAAAAATTTAGGGAATAGTAGATGGCATAATGGTTATGTTGATGGACTCCCATGTAGTTGATTACGATTTGAGTCCCAGACTCAGTGGCTTAAAACTCAAGCTGGGTGCATGTGCATGCATGCCCAAAATCTTGAGAGGAGAATAGAAGAGAAGGGACTGTGGTGTGGTCATCCTATGGGAGGGGGGGGGCTGATTTCTTGCTTTCTTCCTCTCTTTCTCTCCAGCAAGCATGTGTGCCTTATAGCAAAATTTTCTCTTAAATATTTTTTATTCAGTTATAATTGATGTCTAATAAATTTCATATATTAAAGGTGCATAATTTGGGGCCAGCAGGTAGCACTGGATTCCCATATGGCTGACCATGGGTCAAGTCCCAGACCCATTGGCTTGAAAATCATGCCAGGTGCAAGTGTGCATGCCCAAAATCTCTAGAGGAGAATGGAGAAGGAATGGCAGGGTGGCCATCCCCCCAAGGGGTGATTTTTTGTTTTCCCTTTTGCTGATCCTTTTCCTGTCTCTGGTGAGTGTGTGAGCCCTATGACAAAAACCTAAAAAAGAAAAGAAAAGGACATAATTTGATGAATGAAAGTGGATATGTTTGTGGTTTTTGATTTATATATACAATGATGAAATTGTCACTATATTTAAAAACTTTTTTTTTAACCACTAGGCTTGGTCTAAATATAATAATATAAGTTATAGTATAAAACTAGTTTTCTATTTGAAAATTTTTTAAAAATAACTTTTCTTTCCCCAGATAAAGTGATGTTTGCTATAATAAAAAAATTAAATTCTAACAATTTAGAAAAATCAGTAAAGAAAAGCAAAGAACACCACTGTCCAGTGATAACCGTGGTCACCTTAGTGAACCAACTTCAGGTATAATTTACATAAATGAGACCATCCCACATACGCTGCAATGAGATTACACTTGTTCATTCAATGGTATGTCATGAGACAATAAATATAGATTACATTATCATTTCAATGATTGCATTTTTAATGATTTCTGCATTGCCTCTGATTTTTTTTCTCTATCATGATCATGCTGAGACTCCGTATGCTTATCTAAATACTGTATTGCCTTAGGGCAATTTCCTAGAATCAGAATCCATGTGCATGTTCATTTAAAACAAAGGCATATTGTCAATCCTCCCACAGTGAATCAGGGGACCTATTTCTGCCTTTGCTGCTAACACCAAATCCTATCAGATCTATTCTATCTTTGCTAATTTTTGGTGCTGAAGGCATTGCCTAAAAGAATCCATGATCTATTTTAATAGTGCGCCCTAGATGGCTGTTTTGTATCTCTAGTCCCAGGCCTGTTGCAGGACATGCAGTGGGTGTCTGTTGAATGAAGGAAGTAGTTTGGTTCCCTGTCCAAGCTCCTCTGAGTTAATTCAGACCACCAGAGCTGGTTCTTCAGCCATTTAATAAAAGTGTATTAATTTTTTTTACAATAGATGCTGTAGAAGGGATTATTGCTACTGTAAAGTTTGCTCACTGTTACTGTACCCAGCAGGATTTCTACCTAAAATAAAACTGGTGCAATTGAAGAAAAAGGAGACCTTTTGGTTTAAATGTGGGAATAAATATTTCTTCAAAGAAAAATATTTGAAAAGAATATGTAAGCAAGGGGTTCTCAAGGAAACAAACAAACAGAGGGAGCAGAATTTTTTTTGTTCTTCTGAAAAGTAAGGACTTTATTTTTGGAGAAAGATGGTGGTAAAAGGCATAAGTATTCATATTCTGCCCAAAGTGTAGCTCTCTGCTCTGAGGAATGATGGATTTTAATTCCAGGTACACAGTGGCCCTTGACAATGATTTCCATTTCTATATTGGCACTAGCCCTCTGGATAAATGTGTCAAGAGTTTTAGGAATTAGTTTCTGAGTTACTGATGCAATAACTTTTGTCTGAAATTCTCTGGCCTCCCATAGTTTACTGCTGCAACTTTAATAACTTTCAGAGCAGTTGCCAAACATGTATTTTATATCCAGGGAAGTTGGGACCAGAAAAGGGCAAGCTTATACCAAGGGTCAGATTTGTTTAAGAGACAACCAAAAACCCAGTGAAAAACAAATCTAAGCTCTCTTCCCTGTCTACCTTCATTTTCTTTGCTTCCACCCCACTGGTCTTGAAACTAGCTCATTAGGGTCCTGCTTTCCTTGCTTGGTGGGTGGCAACTCTACTTATGTTTGCAAGGGGGAAAATTATACTCTGACCTGGAGCCTCCTAGAAACAAATATGCAGCTGTACCCATGTGCTGGGGATTTGTGACCATCTTAGCACTAGTGATTCAATCAATCAAACTGACAGTGTGGGATGTCCATCGGATTTTAGGAAACCAGAGGACTATATGGACAGCCTGTCACAACCCATTATCTTCCACGTGTCCCCCTGGAGCTCTTTAGTTCCAGCTCTGGCTCTGCCCCTTGTTTGCTTGATGACATTGAAAAGGTACTTTTCTCCAAATGTCTGAAAGTTGAGTGATTTCTGATTAATTGCATTCTCAACCAGAGGAAATAGCTCTGAAACTGCATGAATTTTCTGAGATAAACACTGACCACTCATTTTCTTTTCCTAAGTAACTACATCATAATGAATAAATTTGGGTTCATAAAATAAAATAAAATAGGAGAATTGCTTTGTGAATGTCAAGATTCATTTCTCACCTAGAGGCTAGAAGTAGTATGTGGAAAGGGCAATAAATTGGGAACTGAGTTCTAGATTCCAGTTCTGTATTTGAATGGGCTGGGAAAATTCTTGAACCTCTTTGAATTTTAGTTTTTTCATTAGCAAAATATAGACATTGGGATAAATAAGTTCTCTAAGGCCCTTTATTTATTTAAAAGAATTATTTAATTTTATTTCTTCTTATTATTATTTAAGTCACCAGAGAAAGAGACAGAGCCGGGGGTGGGGAAAATGAGAAAGCAAGTTACTAGGTCTGGGACTTGAATCACAGTCGGCCATGTGGGAGTCCAGTGTCTTAACTACCATGCCACCTGCTGGTCCTCTGAGACCCTTTATTGATCTGATGTCTACCCTTCTCTAGCAGATTGTAAAAGTCCTAGTGAATAACCATTTTCGGAAAGCTGCAATTGACAAATAATACCATACAGAGGTGGGAGAAGAGTGATTAGTCACAGAATCACAGATCTATTTCTGAAAAGAGACTCCATTCCACTTGTCTTGGAGAAATGGAGACTTTCCCATGGTCACACATTGAGTTATTTTCAGACTTAATATTAAAATAAAGTTTGTATTGCTCTAAGAATACAAAAACAAGAGACAATACAATCTATGGGTCAGCCTGTATAATCAGTTGCATTTCATATTACTAAAATCACAGAGATAGAGAAAGATATGTTTACTTAGCATTGCTGGAGAGATTGCTGGTCTAGGTTTTAAGGATAGACATACCAGCCAGACAATGAAATACACACACACATACACACACACACACACACACACACACACACACACACACACACACACACACACACACACACACACACACACACAGACACGCATCTTAAGTTCTGACACGGAAACTAAAGAATCTCCAGGGCTTACACCGTTCCATGTGAGGTTTAGTCTCTACATGTTTAAGGGAAACTGTCTAGCATGTCTGATATGAGGCAAGCTGTTGATGAGATTGAAGGGTTGGTAGCCACGCCTCAAGAGGGTGAAGGCACCAAGTTGTTTTAAGCTCGGAATGAAGGGACACTTTTGACAGCATGTGAGGGCCGTGATGGTAGCTGACAAGACAGAGAGCCTGTCTTATTTTGCTCTTGTACAATATCCCAACAGACTCAGTGTTGATGTAGGATGGATCACAAAGTGAGCCCTCACACCCTACTAGCTATGCAATAAAATGCCTTTCTGATGTGGTTTTAACAA